TCACAAGAGGCAGAAGGGGCTGTGTTTTTTATGGAGGAGCAAACAAGATTAGAAGGAAGGTGGGAGGAAGAGTGGAGGATAGCAAAATCCGATTCAAGCTTAGGGAATGTTTCAGCCAAAATCAGCCTGTTCTTAGGAGGGGCATAAATGGGGTTTGTATGTTGGCTCAGACTGAAGGCAGAGCAGAGTCTGGGAGCTGGGGAAAGGAGAGAAACTTAAGCAAAGTTGTGATGGAACGCAGGAGGCAAAGGTTGTGGTGAGCCTAGATGGCACCAGTGCACTCCAGGGTGACCGATTGAGACTCTGTCTCATAAGTAAATAAATAAATATTTTAAATAAAGTCTTGTTTTAACCAATTATAGTTTGTATTTGTGTAATTTTGTTAATATCAAAGACCCACCTCTGAAAACCAGAAGGAAACCAGGTGTGCCTGCTCTCCTGTTTTTAGATGGGGAGCCATCCATCTTCCATCTGTACCTCTTTGAAATCCATCCTGAACCCTTGGGACTCCTTTGAAAAAACATCTTTTTCTTTCTCCTCTTCTGTCCTGTCTTCACAGAGAGGTAATTCTGTCTCTATACTATGGGACACTTTCCTCAGATGTATCCTCCAAACTGAGAAAAGTTAAGTTTTCAAACCTTAAACTGGTTGGCTTAGGATTGGGCTCAGAAGAAGGGAGCCCAGAAGTACAACATGCTGGCCAAAGGGCCAAGTTTCTTTTTACCAGTGGGGTTTTGGGCCTCCCTCTCCTGTGCAAACTGCTGAAAGGCCTTGGGATTTTTGAGCTGCCCTTACCCCTCCCCTTATTTTGATTCACTTTGATTTGTTTTGTTTTGTTTGAGAAAGAGTTTCTCTCTTGTGGCCCAAGCTGGAGTGCAATGGCCAGATCTTGGCTCACCAACCTCCACTTCCTGGGTTCAAGAGATTCTCTTGCCTCAGGCTCTGTAGTAGCTGGGGTTACAGGCACCTGCCACCATGCCCACGTAGTGTTTTGTATATTCTGTATTTTTAGTAGAGACAGGGTTTCACTCTGTTGGCCAGGCTGATCTCAAACTCCTGACCTCAGGCAACCCACCTGCCTCAGCCTCCAAAAAGTGCTGGGATTACAGGCGTGAGCCACCGCACCCAGCTCATTTTGTTTTGATACCTGTTTTCTAATAATCTGGTGTGTGTTGTCTCACCTTCAGCCATCAAAGGTTGTATGGTGAAGCAGCTGGAGGTTCGGACAATGACCCCTTCTTCCAGGGATCCTTAGATAGGCCTCTGAGGGGACTCTGAGTGCTGTTTTCCCAAAACTGCCCCTGACAGTAGGAAGCAGCATCCTTATTCTAACAGCAGTTGGATGTACTTACTTAGAGAGAGGAATGAGGCGGCTGAGTATAAAGGGGTCATCAGAGAACCTCCAACAGCCTGCACACTGGGAGTGAGCACTGGAGTGGAGCCTCGGGAAGTTCGCACAGTTTGCAGTGTGGAGAGCCTGGCCTCTTCCCTTCCTGTGTGGAACCTGGAATTCAA